GTTCCTAATGGTTTACCACCAATAAGAGGAATCGAGCATCAAATTGACTTTATTCCTAGTGCAATAATTCCAAATCGACCAGCATATCGAAGCAATCCCAATGAGACAAAAAGACTTCAAAGGCAGGTCGAAGAACTCATGAAAAAGGGACATGTGAGAGAAAGCATGAGTCCATGTGCAGTTCTAGTGCTACTTGTGCCTGAGAAGGATGGGACTTGGCGTATGTGCGTTGATTGTTGCGCGATCAACAAAATCACTGTAAAGTATCGTCACCCTATTCCTAGATTAGATGACATGTTAGATGAGTTGCATGGTTCTTGCATATTCTCTAAAATTGATTTAAAGAGTGGATATCATTAGATTAGGATGAAGGAAGGAGATGAATGGAAAACAGCCTTTAAAACAAAACATGGTTTATATGAGTGGTTAGTTATGCCATTTGGATTAACTAATGTGCCTAGTATATTCATGAGATTAATGAATCATGTTTTGCGTGCTTTCATTGGCAAATTTGTGGTTGTTTATTTTGATGACATTCTGATATATAGCAAGAATTTAATTGAACATATTGAGCATGTGCGAATGGTACTAGAGGTGTTGAGAACAGAAAACTTGTTTGCTAACCTTAAAAAGTGTTCCTTTTGCACAAATCAGATTGTTTTTTTAGGGTATGTTGTTTCAGCTGATGGAATCGCAGTAGATGAAGAAAAGGTTAAGGCTATTAAAGAATGGCCGACACCTAAAAATATTTCTGAGGTGCGGAGTTTTCATGGTTTGGCGAGTTTCTACCGGAGATTCATCAAGGATTTCAGCACAATTGCAGCACCGTTGATTGAGATTGTGAAAAAAAGTGTTGGATTTAAGTGGGAAAGTGAACAGGAGAATGCTTTCAATTTAATTAAGGAAAATTTAATTTCTACACCGTTACTTGCTTTACCTGATTTTACTAAAACTTTTGAGATTGAATGTGATGCATTAGGTATTGGCATTGGTGTTGTTTTGATGCAAGAGTGGCGACCTATTGCATTTTTCAGTGAAAAATTGACTGGTGCAGCACTTAACTATCCTACTTATGACAAGGAGATGTATGCATTGGTAAGAGCTTTAGAGACATGGCAGCATTATCTTTGGCCTAAGTAGTTCGTGATACATACTAATCATGAGTCGTTGAAGCACCTGAAGGGACAAGGTAAGTTGAATAGACGACATGCTAAATGGGTGGAATTCCTTGAGATGTTTCCCTATGTGATCAAGTATAAGCAAGGAAAGGAAAACATAGTGGCTGATGCATTATCTTGTAGGTACACACTTATCTCTACCCTAAGTGCAAAGTTATTAGGTTTTGAGCACATTAAAGAATTATATGCTAATGATCCAGATTTTGCTAACGTGTTTAATGCATGTGAGAAGATTGCTTTTGATACGTTTTATAGGCATGAAGGGTACTTGTTTAGAGAAAATCGATTATGCGTGCCTAACTGTTCCTTAAGAGAATTGTTAGTAAGGGAATCTCATGCGGGAGGCTTAATGGGACATTTTGGAGTTAGAAAAACTTTAGATATTCTGAATGATCACTTCTTTTGGCAACACATGAAACGTGATGTTGAAAGGATCTATGAAAGGTGCATAACATGTAAACAAGCAAAATCTAGAGTTTTACCACATGCTTTGTATACTCCTTTACCCATACTTACTGAACCATGGGTTGATGTATCTACGGATTTTTTTTTGGGCTTACCAAGGTCAAAAAGAGGCCATGATTCTATTTTTGTTGTTGTTGATAGGTTATCGAAGATGGCACACTTCATTCCATGTCATAAAACTGACGATGCAACCAATATTACGGATCTATTCTTCAAGGACGTTGTTCGTTTACATGGCATTCCAAGGACTATCGTTTCTGATCGTGATGTCAAGTTCTTGAGTTACTTTTGGAAGACATTGTGGGGAAAGTTGGGAACTAAGCTACTGTTTTCGACTACTTGTCATCCACAAACTGATGGACACACAAAAGTGGTTAATAGGACATTGTCAACCTTATTGCGTTCTATTATTCAGAAGAACTTGAAGAACTAGGAAGAGTGTTTGCCGCACGTTGAATTTGCTTATAATCAGAGCGTCCATTTGGCAACTAACTGTTCGCCATTTGAAGTTGTGTATGGTTTTAATCCATTCACTCCTTTAGATTTATTGCCTTTACCTATTGACGAACAAGCTAGTTTGGATGGGAAAAATAAAGCTGAAGTGGTTAAGCAACTGCATGAGAGGGTGCGACAAAACATAGAGCGACGAACTAAGCAATATGCAAAACAAGCCAACAAAGGACGCAAGAAAGTTGTATTTGAACCTGGAGATTGGGTTTGGGTGCATATGCG